GCATCAGGCTACACAGCAGCCTTGTGCCACTTTGTCATGTCTTTTGCTTCAGCTAACAAAGCTGAGGCAAAAATCTAGTCCTTGGAGCTACTATCTGGCAATTCAGGGAAGGCTGGCAAATTCAAAAGTAGAAGCTGAAAAGGAACAGGAATGCTCTGTTGAATTCCTGAGTACAAAACTACTCTGAGATTTGAAAGTACGGAATAGGCAAAAGGATGACCTCAATGTTTATATGGATAGGAATCTGGATGGATCCTCTCTACTCAGGATAATGTGTTACCTTTCTTGGAGAAGCTCTTCTGCCCATTCCTTACAGAACTGTTTAAAAACAATTTTTTGTAAAATTGCTGTAACTACATACATTTAAACTGGAAAACACAGGAGGAAAGCTACCTTTGTCTCTGAGGATGAATCAGAAACAGTGGAAACTGGGGAAGTAAAAGACAGGCTGTATCCATGAGCTTCTCATGCCCACGTTGACTGATCCAAGTCTACAATAATAACATCCAGGCTTTAAAGAGTCTTTTTAAAATGAAACTCTGAGACACTCATAATTAGCCGTAACCTGAATGGTTTAGAGAAGATTTCACAAGCTATTTCTCCTGACACCTAGAAGGCTGTAAAAGAATCAGTACTGAAACCAAACAGACTCAAACAAAAAAAAAAAAAAAACCCACACAGGAAAAGTTCTGTCTTTCATGTAAATACAAATGAAGACTTGTTTGTTCTAAAAGAGAAACTGTGGAACAAGGTAACACTTTTGGCAATGTGCAGGTTCCAGTTTGTGCAGCAGTTGCTGGAAACCACAGGAGGAGCCAGCAGGTGACTGCAACAAGTGACTCAAAAGTCACATCAAGCAAAACTACTGCTGAGAACAGTGACACCAGGACAAAGACACCTGTCCCTAGGAAGTCCATAAAAGAAAGTTTGAGATACCTGAAAGCAGCAGAGATGTGTCTTGATGTTCATTTACACTGCTCCAGGAAAAACTTTTCACAAAACAAAAGTGCTACACGGGAAAGGTTGTCTACTGAGATGGAAAAGTGAACACAAGCTTTGCCACTGGCTTTGAATAAAACGAACCAGCTTCCCAAGAGTAGAAAACCTAAAAGGAAAACTGACTACTGAAGTGAACCCAGTGTGTTTTAATTTTCAGGAAATACAAATAGGAATAAACCATACAGAATTAAAATTATTTTACTATTCAGCTTTAGAGGTTTTATCAGTAGCAGTTTAAATACATTTGGACAAATCCTCACCTGTAGCGAGTCACTTTAATCTGTTGGCTTCTCTGTCTACATTTAAATAAAATATATAACTGACAATATCCAATTACACCAGTATAAAATACTTCATTTTAAGACCAGTGTTTTCTTTTGTGTTACTGAAATTAAGATTTGTTCAGTGAGGATTCAAAAACATATAGCATTTCTGCTCCATCAGAAGAGATATTTCTAAAGAATTGTGTAAGAACTTTCAATGGCAGAAACAGTCAGACGCTTGATTTGACCTTGTATGTTGGAGAAATTAAAAAGCTAATGAACTATTCCTGTTTAGCCAACAAATCTGAATATAGTAGGCTTCTCCTACCTTGAGAAAACTTGGAAAAAACTGAAAATTACATGGAAATTATATCAAAAAGATACTGGTAATCTAAACTAAGCAGGAAAACAATGCAATATTCTTAATCTAAACCAAACTCTTGGTGCAAAGACATACAGCGCAAGACCCCACTGATGAATTCATAACGGGTGTCACTCATAGCTGTGCAGAAGACTGGGGTAAAGTATACGCTTTACTTAAGTTTGTCAGGTTTGGGAGACCTAAGTTATCCTTAGGACCTGTGGCATTTCTCTGTTCCACAGGCACTACAGCTAGTCTATGTGTTCACTAATTTAACAAGGTGGCCACTGCTTTGCATTCAACCCAGTACAGCTACTGCAGGCTAAGACCTCATATTCTCACAGCAAATGTAATGCACAATCCACAGGAGCATCTCCAACTGTACAGATGTGGGTCTGTGACATACAGCCGAGCAAGCAGTTACATTCATTTATAAAATAATGCTGACAAAGGGCATGGTTTCCTCAGCTACCAGATGGATTTGCACAAGAGAAAGAACTATAGAAATTAAAACTCCTGAAGCCACTCCATCCTACAAAACACAAAATAACTCCTTCCACCCAAACACAGCCAGTATAGACCCCAGCACTTTCTCAGGAAGCCACATGCTGCACAAAATACTGTTTTTCTGGTGTCCAGACTAAACGCTGTTACTCTGATCTAATAATAACTTGAACCCAGCTTCTCAGTACTTTTTTTTTTTTCTCTCTTCTCTTGACATTTTCACCCTGCAGCTATTTCAGAATGGACAACTACATCATCCTCAGGCCTCATTTCACCAGACGTGTTTCTCCTTTATGTGTTAACCACTTCTCACTTAAGGGCTCATTTTATGTAGGCAACACAAGTTCTTGAAAGTCATATAACTTCAATGGAGCTTCAGCAGAGAGATATATACATTTGTGGCCTTTCGATTTGTACTGTGGTTATTTTGCATTCCAGATAATGAGTTTGCCAGTCACTGGGATAGAGTCTATTACCTGCTTTAAATGGAAGCCAAATTTTCCTCCCTAAGTGCAAAAAAGATTTGGAAACACTTGAGTTGCACAGCAGTCACAAAGTTTCAGCAAATTTCTTAAGTTACATCTGTCATAGTTGCTACCTCTCATGGTGTGTGTGTTTTGGGTGTGATTACTCAGACCACATTTGTCCCACTTCCTCTCCACACTCACACCCCCGGCTCCAAACGACACGTATGTTGACATGTATTTTTGCCACTGAGTAGCATCCTTCAAGAACGTGGCACAGGCTCCCGGCATGGGCACAGCATGCTCAGTGATGAGAGGAACATTGGATGGGTCAAGACCAGAGTAAGAGCAACAGCAAATAATACCTCATATCCTGTGATTGCTATCTGGTGCATGGAGTCATTTACTGATTTGATGATATCAAGCATCGTGGCCAGGGCTTCTTCCAATTCAGCAGTACCCTCTGAATTCTTGCTGCACTTCAGCATTTCCTGATTAAAAAAAAAAAAAGAAAAGAAAACTAGTTGAAAACTTCTTATAGTGGAAATCACCATTAAACAATCCTCCCTGAAATTTGTGCTGCATAGACAAAATAGCAGAACTATAGGAAAAAAAAAAAAAAAGAAAAAATCCAAACACAAAACCAAACAGGACATTCACCAGGATTGTCCTTGAGGATATACATTTTGATCTTTTGGACATTTTCAAATTTTATGGGTTAAGATGAGACAGGACCATTCTGAGATATTTACAACTAACTTTTTGCATGTCAAAGAATTACATCCAGGGTTTTTTTACTGCACATCTCCTAGAAAAGAAACTCAGTCTTAACATAATGATTTGAGGTGTTACAGAATTCACCATTACCATTTGCAATTTGTTCCACAAGGTACTTTTAACCACTGTTAAAAATAGAAATTAATTTCTACTCTGAATTTGGCAGGTGTGATGTTCTTCTCATCAGGTCTTAGCAAGCTCTTGTCAGATAAGAAATTCTGCACGAGAAGTAGCCACTTCCTGTGTAGATGCTTGTAGACCTATGTTGAAATCACCTCACAAATCTCTCTTCCTTAAATTAAATTAAGCTTCTTTAAGACAGGTTTTCAGCTGGCGGTTTTTTTGGGTTTGTTTTTTTCTGGGGGGGCGGGGGGGAGGAATAGGCCAGATTACTATAAATCTTCCCCACCTGTTATTCTCTATGTCTGCATTACAATCTACATTTGCAAATTTGAAAACCTTTTTTTGAGAGATAGTAATTTTGAAGAACAATGCTGACCTCTAGCAAAAATTCATCAAACATTATATTATGCTTGAAATATTCTGCTTCTGCAGAAGTTAAGAAGAATGTGCCCAAAGCAAAGAAACAAACAAACAAAACCTTCTGAGGGCACAATTTCTGTAATCGCTTCACATACTGAGATCCTATTTAGAGTTCCAAATATTTAGGGCCAACTACTTACATAGACCAGTATAGTTCCTTACAGGGATGGCTTTTCTTATTTCTATTGTGTCTTTTCCTTGAAAAGTTCTAGTCATAGCTCAGGAATTAATTCTCTTCTTGTAACCAGCGGTTATAACCCATGCAAATCCTGGAAGACACTAAACTCTTAATTTTAAATGAAATTAACTGCCTTGCCTCTTGCTCTTCTGCCTACAGAGGAGCCCTGAACCTGATTCAGACGCACAGATTGTTTTTTCCCCACCGTATTGTAGAGAAGGAGTTACTGCCAACGAGTACCCACCTGAGATCAGAATCAGACTGTATCTTTGCTAAAAGCATCTAGGGAAGAAAAGATTAACAGATACAAACCCACATATAGTTGGTACAGTCTTGAGAAGACATGAATCTCTGAGCAGCTGGAAGATCCCAAGACTACCCCATAGAATTTGAAACAAAAGCCAATCAGGATTCCTACCATTAAACAGAAAAAGTAAGATGACTGTAACCAAAAGTAGTAAGATAACTGATTATTGTGATTTTGATGCTAGGAATCTACATCCATTAATCAGCTGACAGAACAAGATTATTGGTTGTTAATGAGACAATAGTTCCAGTGACAGAATTCATAACCCAATAACCCTTTAAGTGGTCATTATTGACTTGTCCCTGCCTTATATATCTACCAGTGGAAGGAAAGAAGTGTTTGGTTGGATGCAATTTTCACTTCAGAAATGCAAGCTATGAAGAAACTAAGAAATAAATTCATGTAATAACAGCACCTCACTAAGAATGATACAGTAAGTGACTTTAGTTTTATTTCCTTATGCTGACTACAATGTCAACAGAAACTACACTCCAGAAATACACCTAGGAATGAATCAAGACTCTACAAACTTTAGTAATCTTTATTATAGTAAGAATTAGGTCCCTTCAACAGGGGTGGCCCTTGACATGGTTTTCATTCAGGCATATAATTTTCAGCCACATTTTGAGGTTGGAAATCATTTAATCCAAAAGCTGAGGCACTTGTGTTCCTGTAAAACCGGGCCGCAAAAAGGTAGTTCTTGCAAACCCCAAACAGCAGCAATAGCTCCTCAACTGCTTGGGTGACCAGGGCTTAGAAGGTAAAAGCAGGATGCATTCCTACAGCGCCTGTTGCACAATTTCTAGGACGAGGATGGATCCCTGCTATCTATATAGTGGGCATGGTGCTTTATAATATTAACTAAACTGACTGAAACCAAAGGCTTGCAATAATTGTGACCCAGAATTTAAAACTAGTCTGCCAATTGCTCAAGGCACACAGCTTCTTAGGCACTTGTTTGTTACCAATTTTTCACTGACTCCCATTTTCCTACACTCTTAAATGCTTCTGCTGCCAGGGAAAG